CATTTTAATGATTTGAAGGACTACTTTCAACATAGCTTTTTAAATCTTTTATTTTTATTTTTATTTTTATTGGGTGGGGTTGGGGGGACTAAGGATTCTATCGGAACACCCTATAGAACGGGGGTAATCTACATCATTCATGGATGGTTAAGAGTGTTGGTTTTAAAATTGTGGCTATTGAATCAATGGTATAAATTAGGGCTGTCCATCCGGCCCGGCCTGGCCCGGCCCGGCATTTCGAAATTCGTCGCATCACAATAGATGAGTACATCCCAACTAGGTTGGCACCTACTCACCCATATCACTATCATTTGCAACTTTTTTCGAAATAATTTAATTCAAATTTAAAGCTAAGAAATAAAAATTACAATTTTATGAATATTATCTAATCATTATATCTATCTGCTAGTCCCAACTCTTCAAATTTATCTTCAATCATAGCAATCCGTTCGATGCCTTGTGTTCGCTTCTCGTATCTCCACCAATCCTGTAAGCACATCACCGCTTGTACAGTATACGGATCTAAGCATGTCCTGTGGTCGTCGATCAAACGTCCTGCTGTGCTGAAAGCGGATTCCGAGGCTACAGTCGAAACCTGCACTGATAGTAAGTCACGAACCATGGTGGAAAGTATAGGAAATAAAACTGATCCACATACTTTCCACCATTGCAAAATATCTAAAGCATTTCCTTGACATTTAACTAAGGAAGAAGATAAATATTCATCTATTTCAGAAACCTCTAATCCTGATGAAGTTCCAGATCCACCGGTTAGTTCAGCTACCATTGCATACCTATCAAAACTTACACTTTTACCTCGACCTGTGCTCGAAGCTGAAGGTGCCGAAGCTATAGACTGTTGTGTAGCTACACCATATCTAGCTGCATACTCATCATATAAGGTTTGAAAATAATTTCTAATAGCTAAATGATGAGTAGTAGCAGTAAGGGTGGATCCATCATCTAAGTCTATAATCTGTCCACCATACAATGATTGTAACAAACTTCGAAGGCCAATTTCCTTCAAGCATGGATCAATAAGAACACCAATACCAAAAATATGAGGAATAGGCCTAAAATACTTATTAAATTTACTCTCCATTTGAAAAATTATATTTCCAAAAATATCATCCATACGGTATTTTGCAAATTTTTTTTGAATATTTAAAATTTGTAAAGCAGCTAAAGTAATAGTTGGATAATAACAACCAGATAATAACATAGTAGCATCATAAAAAACTTGTAACATCTCATTTAATTTACATATAACTGTTCATTCATCTTCATTTATTCCATAAGCACTACCAGAGCTAGAACTAGAAGCATAAAAATTTATAAAATCATTTATAATTTCTTTATATTCTATTGCTACAGATAACATTGCATAGGTGGAATTCCACCTATGGTCAATATCTTTTGGAATTAGTCTAGGCTTATAATTTTTTCTTTTACAACATTGTTTCCATCTTTTAATTCTCATTTCAGAAGCATTATGCATATTAGTAACTGTTCTAACTTTTTCTATCATGGGTTTAATTTCAGAAAATGCACTTTGAACAATTAAATTTAAAATATGACAGATACATCTAACATGAAAAAGCTCACCATGACATGGCAATGACAAAGTTATTTTCAGAAAATCAACAGCTACATTATTATTACTTGCATTATCTAGTGAAAGAGTAAATATTCTTTGATCAATTTCTAGTTTCATAAGTTCTTCAACAATTAAATTTGCAACATTAATACCAGTGTGTGACTCTTCAATTGCAATAAAAGAAACAACTCTTTTAAACATTTTCCAACTTTCATCAATCCAGTGTGCTGTTATACATAAATAACCAGTTTGCACTCTAGATGACCAAATATCAGAAGTTAAAGAAAATTTGCAGTTTAAATTTTTAAAATAAGAAATTATTTTTCCCTGTTCCTCAACATAATATTTTAAAATATCACGTTGACAGGTTTGACGAGAAAATTTTGTAAATGCAGGATAAAAACCATCTCTAAACAAATCTTCAAATTCATCATCTTCTACTAATTTAAAAGGAAGGTTTTTAAGAACAATAAACCTGATTACGCATTTCCGGGCTCGGGCAGCGTCATAATTCCAACTGCCGAGGGTACCTGAAGAGGATGATTGGGAAAGCATAGACTGCCGGATATCACCTTGTAGATTTTGGCCTTTGTTGTGTTTTTCAATATGCCGTTTGAGATGGTTGGTGCCGCTCTTATGATGAGCTTTGAATATCTGGCCGCACAACGCACATTTCGCATTCTGAGAGATGATCCTACCGTGTTCATCCTTGGTGACGTCTATCTTCTCAAAAAAATTCCATACATCAGACCTCGGCCTTTTTGGAGCTCTTGGTGCCGTAGATTCGTCGCCACCAGATTCAGGATTAACACCGGTAGGATGAGGAGTTGTTGTAGGAGGACTCATCTCTGGATCGGTAGGAGATGCATGTTGCTCTTCATAATCAGACCCAGAAGCCATTTGTTGGAAGTATTAGAAAATACAAAAGATTATAGGATAGTATATTAGTATGAGATAGTATAAGATTGTATAAGAGAGTAGTAGAGAGAGAAATAGATGAGTTTTGTTGTGAGGAAATGAATTAAAATCCCCCTCTATTTATAGAAGCAGTCCCCTAGGTAAATGACCAAAAAACCCTCAAAAAATAGCCGTTTTTTGACCGTTTTAAGGGACAAAACGGTCAAAAGGTCAAATCTGACCGTTAGGCCAGATTTGACCCGGGCCGGGCCGGCCCGGACATTCGAAGCCCCAGTGCCCAATTTGGGCACTGTTCCGGGCTCGGGCCGGGCCCGAACAGGGCTCGTCAACAGCGACCCGGGCCCGGGCCCGGGCCCGGGCTCCGGGCCCGGGCTGGATTCCG